TTAAAACACGTTTTACCTTTGCTGAACAATAAAACAAAGTCAGTTCCAGAAGTTCTGGAAAACGTATCAAAGTTGGATAACGTTCTATTTTAAAACTAGCACAATTTTTTCGAAAACACATTGCTGTATTTGCCACAAGTGATATTTACTTGTGAAAATGAAAACAGTTAGCGCAAACAACGTGTAATTAACAAACTGTATAACATCTAAATATTGTATAACATGTGTAGTTGACATAAAATAAAATAATATGAATCTGTTAGAACTATTTATAAAATTTTATTTTTTAAATATTTATTTGGCTTAAAGGAAACTGAACTTTCAAAACATTTGTTATTAACAAAAACACTATAAATTTAAGAAGATGGAAGGTTGAAGCAATATTTCCGGATCGTTATTGACAATGAAGAAATCATATTGATTAAACGTTGTTACAAATCGTTTTGTAGAAGTTGTAAAATATTTTTTTTAAACTTTATCAACAAATCTATCTAAATGTTTCATAATAATCTCAAAAATATGTAATTAAATTTGAAAAGCCGTACATAATTACATGGAATTCATAAACAGGGTGCGCCAGAACTCGTGCCCCTGAGAAAAATGCCATGTAAGGTAAGATACCAGGAATATTGAAAAAATGTTAAAAAATCTATAAATATGTCGAAGTTATGAAAGTTTAAATTTTGCACTTTGACTCTATTTATTTCTGTTGGAAAAATAATTTTTCAATAAAAAAATGTCAAATCTCAAAAAATAAATGTCACAATTTTTTGATAGATAAAATTTTTTAAACATTTTTTCCCCGTTTCTGGTATCTTATGTTACTTAAAATTTTTCTCTAGACCGCGAGTTCTGACACCCTGTATAAATAACATCGACAAAATAGGCGATCTCGATTTACACCAAATTCGTCGGAAATACTAAATAATTCTTATTTGAGAGAAGCAAAACGCAATCCAAAATACAATAAAACATAATTGCCCTAACGTCGGGCCAGAATCTCCTTATTATGCCTTTGGTACAATAGTATATTATACATAAAAGGAGAGAAATGCACGATTATTTCTGAAGTCCCACCACCAAAGGAATAATAGCAATTCTCTCCATTGGTGTATATATTTTTTTTTTGCACGAGTTGAGATAAAAAATCCAAGAAACTGGCTGCAATTCTTTAACAAAATTTAAAATTTAGCATAAATTACACAATAGCAACAATAAAAATGTTGTTGACGTTAACGATGATCCAATGAATGAATTGAAATGACTTAGTAGTGGGAGCAAATACTTGCTCCTGTCATTATGCTTATTTTTCTCCCTCTGGAGAAAATTTTGACTTCTGTCACAGTTTTGACATAAGAAAAGCTGGTTTCTACTCTCCTTCGAGTAAAAATTACTATTTTTTTTAATCTAATGACGATAGTTTTTACTTAGATATCGATTTTTTTAAATTTAAAACTAATAGTTTGCAAAAAACTTGTTCTAGTTTTTCCACGATAAAAATTTTGAAATAAAAAAAATAAAATCGAAAATTTTAAAATTAGACCACATAACTAGCATTTTTTCACACCAAACCGTCAATTAAAAAAAAGTGATTTTTTACTTATATCTACAATATTCAGAACTAAATTTTCTAAATGTAAATTTTCTGAGAATCACAACTTTGCAAGCTAAAACATTCCACGACAAGTACGTTTCGGTTTATTGGCTCATATTTCATGAACTGTTCACAGTTTTCATATGAAATCCGAATTTTTTTTATTATTTAAACAAAATATGATTGTGAACAAAATAAACCTCGATGGAATTTTCATCACATTTTCGGGTTCCATGTAACCTCGAGGCTGCGCCTCTCGGTCATGTTACCACTAATAAAATATTTCCAAACTCGGTTGTAATATCCTATTCCCTACTTCGGCAAAGAGTCATAAATTCTTCCCTTGCTTTACTTTTAATAATGTTCCTTCATTACCGTTTTAAAGCTTCATATTAATTTTTCATCGCATTTTACACCTTCTCCCTTACTTTATATTTAAGTTTATTCAGTTTTGTATCTTTAAAATAAAATATACGATGCCATAAATTCAGAATCAGCGGATAATTTATTCGTTTTACCTTCATTTTAGCTTTCAGGACAAACTCAATCTTCATAAATTTTATTTTTAATTCAAAAGCGTAATTGGAGTTTACTTTCATTCATTTACAACAGGTTGTAACCTTCTTTATATGTATACATACATATTTGGAAATTAAGTCTATTTTACTCCAAATCCCAATTCTAATGGTCGTAAATTGTAACTCCTTTTACGTGTGATACAATATTCTTAAATCTACTTCTGGGCGAAACTGCTACTCTCCTTATAAAAGCAGACCGTAAGTGGACATCCTTGTCCTACTATCTTGTCAATACAATTCAATTCTTCTCTTTCAATTCTTAAACACGCAGACTTTAAGAATCTATTCAAATCTCCTTTTTTCTACTTACACACATTATTTCGACTTACGAGAGCTCGTCCAAATATAAACATCAAATTTATTATTAATGGGAAACGGTCCATTTCCTCTCGCCCAGTATACTTAATCTAATTGCAGACTTCCTTGGATGACGTTTGCAAGACAAAGAGAATCTAAAATGAAAGGTTGGTTATAACCGCCCGTTTAATAATCCGCTTTGAATTAATTGAAATGTAAATTCGCGCCGAAATAGAAACCCTCTTCTAGTCGGTATCGAGAGAACCCGATTCTCATGTCGTCTTCATTATTCCTCACAATTTAATTTCCCGCGACTTCATTATTTGTCATTTTCGTTAGCAAACTCAAATCAAATCTCTGTCCGTCCAATCGAATAAAATTTCGACAATTCCACGTCTCGTTTAAAATGCATACTCGCGTTTTGGGTCTTGCAAGTCGCGCACCGAATTATTGGCTTTCCACCAGCCGAAATTATCATTTTGTGGTGTTGGAAATTATCTAAAAGCCCGTAATTACGACGCCTCCTGCAGGAAATTTGGTGTCCTCCTGAGTCTCCGCGGTTGCGGGTTTGTTAATGCGGTCGGAATGCTCAGGTTGCAGGAATTCTCTCAGGTACAATCAATTAATCAGTGTGAAGTTTCAATTCGTACAAATTGACCAAAATAAATTTGAGACGATATCGCAATTATCGAAAACAAACGGTCTTTCGTTAGGTTAAGAAAAAGTAAAAACTACTGCAGTCAAATATTTTGAAAACGGTAAAAACACAAACAGGAACTGATGAGTTGTTAATTAAAACCTACTAATTTAATGATTAAACCACTCAATTAATTGATTTTGAAATAAATAAATTTGCGTTGTTGACAATTCATTTTATTAACTGCATTTTGCGTCAACAAAGTTTAACAAAATTTACATTTTGCGTCTACAGGGAGTAGAAAGAGAATTAAATAAGAGGAAAAATTTACAAACTGAATGATGAAATATTTATGTTCTTTTTGTTAATTATCCTTCTGAAATAAAACTATTTCGTGTTAAATGAAAATAAATGTATGTTTTTTTCTTTTTGCTTTTTCCAAAGTACCTACAAACCTTGTTTAAATTTTGCACTTTCACTTATTAGTGATTATTTTTTATTTATGATTCCATAATTTTAAGTTTTTAACATCAGGATTTTGTCTAATTTGATTGGCCTAAATAAAATTTGGCCTGATTCTCATTATTTAAGAAATGAGTATGAGCACGTGTAGGCATGTCTCCGATTCTTGCTCCACATTGGTCGATAACCAGTTCTCGAATGTTAAATTTAAAGTTCAAATTTGATGTTAATATTTTTAATTATTACTCCTATCATAATTATCTCGCATTTCGTAATACTTTATTTTATTAACAGTGGCTTACATTCACCGATTTTTGAGAAATCGATAGACATGCAAAAAATGTACCAAATTGAGAAATGATCAATTTTTTTTTTTAATAAAACACGCTTTATATTCCACTCTAAGTAAAATAAACACAAATTTTTGTTTTATTTCACTTTTAGCACCTTTACAAGAAGCGTAATTTACAAAATATGCAAATTCGTTTAAGTGTAGACAGCCAAATTACAAACTCTTTTTGGTTTGTCTCTAAACATGATGGATGGAGATATAAATTTAATGAATTATTAATGCCCTTCTTTTTTTCCTCTTAACACATTTCAAGATCAAGTGAAGACTCTCCACTCTAATGGAAAAATGTTGCAGGAACCACAATCGTCTATTTTCATTTAAGATAGTTCAGTTTAAAGTGAAATTGCAGTGGAAAGAAAGAGCGGGTATTCGGTTTCTTTCCTTACAACAAAAAACTTGTTAGTGGCGCTTTTCGAAATAAACGAAGCGACAAGTATTGTTCCAAGTTTTTAGTCGAATGATAATCCGAATATGTGACAAAATTTTGCTATTAAGCCGATATAATCTGACAGTAAATGTCTTTCATCTCGCTTATCTTCAAACTTTGGGCGTCTTTACACCGTCTCATTTATTAAATCTCGCCCGAAAAAATATAATTTTGTGATACAATCTCCCTTTATCAACCTGAAATGCTACTATAATATTTTTTCCTTAATTGGCTCCGGTCTCATTAATTTACACCGGACGTAATTCGACTTTTAAATCATTGAATGTTCTTTTTGCGTTAATCTTCTTATATCATTTGGTTATAAATCCACCATTCAATTCGGAATGAATCGACTCCAGACTTATTCAAACCACGGATTAAAAGGTCACACAATAAATCATCAGTGATTATGCGCCAAATAAAAATCGTTTTATCCATTTTCTAGTTTCATTACAGAGAAATTAAAAAATTGAAGGTATTTTAATGAAATTTCTCAGACAATGAATGCAATATAAAAACCGGTAAACAATGCAAGTAAATAAGAACTTCTTTCAACTTTTAAAAATAAAAATCTAATTGTCGTTTGCTCTCGATGTTTTCAGTTGTTGTTATTAAAAATTTCGAGTAAAAAATTCCGCAAGAAAACTAATAAATAATTAATTAATTTTTATTTAAAAACTCAGTACAATATGTTTATGTGCAACAAAAATAAATACAATGTGCTCTACAAAAAGTTACAAATCTGTACAGAAAATAAATTAAAATCGAATCATTTGCATTACAGTTTGGCACCCTCTGAAAATTCAGACTCCAACAATATTATACTGAATTTTCCTCATTTTGATTATGTACATTTAGAAGAATTTGGCGTGGGGGGCGGCGTAGCCGAAAGCTGGGGCGGCATGAGCGTAACCGGCGGCGTAGCCGAGGGCGGGGGCGGCATGAGCATAACCGGCGGAGTAGCCGATGGCGGGAGCGGCATGAGCAAAACCGGCGGAGTAGCCGAGGGCAGGGGCGGCATGAGCGTAGCCGATGGCGGGAGCGGCGTATCTAGCGACTGGGGCTGGGTGTACAGAGACGGCGGGGGCGGCATGAGCTACAGCAACTGGGGCATGGGCAACAGGGGCGGCGTAGGCGGCTACGGCTGGGGCGGCATGAGCTACGGCGACTGGGGCGGCGTAGGCAGCTACGGGAGCGGCGACTTTGGCAACAGGGGCGGCATAAGCGGCGTAGGCGGGGGTGGCTTGGGCGGTGTAGGAGTAGGAGGTGGCGACTGGGGCGGCTTTAGCCACGACGGCGGGAGCGGCGTAGCTGGCTACGGCCGGGGCGGCGTAGGAGATGGCGGGGGCGGCGGCATAGGTAGACACGGCAGGGGCTCCTAAGTAACCGGCGTTGGCGGCAGCCAAAGCGGCGAAGAAAACAACAATCTGTAAAAGTTGGGTTATTTCGGAAGATTTTGAGTTGGGGGGTTACCTTAGCGGCCATTTTTGAGTTGTGTGGTGTATTGCTGTAATGCAAATGATGAGGATTGGGGGCTCGTTGGTGGCTTTTATACCGAAAAAATTGACAAATACGGTGGGTGTGGTACCGAGTCGAGGCTCGTAACCAGTTTCAGTAAAGATCAGTTTAAAAGGTATTCTTGTTTGTTATTATTTAACCAAATTTTAAGGGATTACGACATCTGATTTATTATTAATGCTCTTGCACTACATTGCTTTAATGATCCGTTCAGGGGCATGGCTTAATCAGATTCGACTATCCAAATTCACGGCCAAAATAATTTACTTTTAATGCAATTGGGAAATATGTGGCAAGATTTTGATCTTACCATCGTGATTTATTATATTTACACAGCCTAATAATTGACGAAAAAACAGTTTTGAGAAAATAATAGGATATTAACCTTCTAACTAATACCTATAATTCAAGTCAATTGCTCAACATCAATCAATACCTTGATTTATATTGCAAGAGTTTATAACAAGATAAGGATTGTCATAAATAAAAACTCTGAAATCTCGCGTTTGCATAATTACAATTAGAAACTTCATACATTTGAATAAGCTACTAGAATAAATTGTAGAGCACTTAAGAGACTCGAGAATATTTTTTTAGTCTTTGCTTTATTAAATTATGCAAATTTTCTTCGCTGGAGGTGTTCACGATATAACGTGCTGAAAAATTTCAAAATAGTCCTTGCCCAGACACCTGTAATTAGTCTCATTTGTCGGCAATAATCTATGGCTTCCGTATCTGCATCAGGTAATCCACAAGAAGCAAAATAAAAAAAAATCAGAGCAATATTTTACACCATCCCTAATTAATACACTGACAAGGCTAGCCACTAGCATGTAAATTTTCAAAATTCATAACAGTTTGTGGGCGCATTCTAAAATTATAGTGTGTATAAGGACGATACATTCCGTTCACGCTTTTAACATTTTTGAAGCGTTTTTGCTATAATTTGAGAGCAAATATTATCGCGTAAACCACTAATAAACAAGTCAAGTCAATACTTTTTTTATCAAAATTCTGAAAAACGGAACTGGAAATTTACTGAATCACAAACAATAAATAAATTGGGGCAAAATGCGAGACAAGGTTATCAGACTATGGAAATTAGCGTTTCCTTGTAAGGAGTAAACGGAAGTTGGAGATTTCCATTCGTTAGCTGAGAAAATTAAATGTCATGGAAAATTGTAACAATAATACTCAACTAAATCAATACTTCGAACAATAATACAGTTTTGGAAAATTAATTTCTCTAACCGGTTCTAAATCGCATTATCTCATCGTTTTGCAACCACATAAGCGGCTTTTAAGAAAATTAAAAATCAATCGAGTCCCAGTTGAAATATTGATGGTTTCATAGGTCATTAAATTATGCATGCATCACGGTTGATTTAAGTGTGTAATTTTCAACATCAACATAGATTTGTTGATAAAATCAACTTGTTGGTGTGTTTGACACTGGTAGTTTTGTTCGAACACACCCACTTATTACAAATTCATGATCGTCTAACATCAATTTAATTAAACATTTACGACGAATGACGAGGAGGGAAATGGTGGTAAATTTAAGAGAATGAGTGCTCCAGTTTGACCGCGACCGGTTTTTGCCCCAACGATTGCCAAATAGGTTGAACGAGTCGATTGACATTTAGCGGATTTGATACAAAAGGTAATTAACTGAGGAAAGGGTGAGTTTTGGCGTCCAGGAAACAGAAAGAGTTAAGTTTTTGCGATTTTTACTCGTATTGAGTTCGAAAAAAATTAATCATCTGGTATTTTATATTAAATTTTTTGTGTGACATTGAAAAAAGGACCAATTTAAGGTAAAACCATGAACTTTAGGAAAACGGCTGAAAATGTGAATAAATTCGGTATAAAACTGTCAGTGATGATTCAATCAACATTTAACATTTGGATCGATGTCAAAGCCGAGCAAAAACGGAGTTTTAATGAAACCACTACTTGGGAATTAATCTTTAATATTATGTCACTAGATCAAGTCCACTTTCTCTTCGCTATCGCCAAATTTCCTATTGTTACAAATTCAGTCATGTAAAACAACCAACAAAAACTTTTTCCCTTATTTCAACCCAATGTTTACTTAAAACTCGTATACTCGGGGCGAATATAAATGTCTCTCCAACTTTATCAATCACGTTTCACCGAAACAATTTCAAAATCTTGTACAAACAACAATTATTCCGAATGTTGTGAATTAATTAGCTCTTAAATTGTTGTAACCACAACCGGAGATTTCCTCGGACTTATTCCGTCTTATTTATTCAAGTTTAACACAACGTCGCAGTTTATTAATAATTCGCGAGGATTAAACATCCCATTTCTAGAGCAAAAGCTCCAAGTTTGAAAGCGACGTTTTTTATTCACTCGATTTGAAATTCGGTGCACCGGTGACTCAAAGAAAGGGTGCTGTTCAAAGCAAAAAACTAATTAATGCGTTGTTGTATACAAATAAATTAGTTCCACGTTCAAAATTTTGTAATAATTAGTCGAAGGTGGGTAGATAGGGTGCGGTTTTATGTTACTATTAAAGCCCGTTACGAGACACAAACCCAAAAGGTGAACTTTTAGGCAAAGGTCTCGTTTTCATTCCTATAACCATCAACTCAAAATTCAACGGTATGGAAAACAGTGCGGTTCGTTGCGCTTTCAAACAAAAAGATATCCTAAAAGGAGTCTATTTTTACAACGCAGTTTATTGGAATGTTTCACTGATTTTTACGATTATCATACATTTGAGAAGGCTGCCTCTCAAAACAACAAATCCAGCGAATGCTTTCAGCGTAAATTGTTTTTGTTTTCAAGTAGGTTTGTCTATTTTTAAGATTTGCTTAAAAAAATTAAGGCTAAAAAACTATTAAATTGTGAAACATTCGCTCAGTTGTTATTTCTTTTGTTAAATAAATATTTCAACGTTTGTTTAACTCCAGAACTAAGCCCACGGAGAAATGGAGTTTCAGTGAAAAGTTTTACAACTGGTCAGCGATCAAATAAAAACTTAAATTGCAAAGTTTGCATTTAGTCTCTAGACAATTAAAACAAAATTAATACAAAGCTCAAAACGCTTTATTTCGCTTAAAACTTGCTAACGTACACGAGTTAAAGGTGGTGATGTTTCAATTTTTTGTTTGCTTTGTTAATTATTTAGCCAATTTTCCCTGTCTAAATACTGATATAATTTGCTAACTGCGCTATGTTTATGACACCATTTAACCACATCGCAATGTAATAATTAACATCGTTTCTGTTGCGGTCGTTACTATAATTGACTTACAAGTGACTCCTTTTTCCAAATCTTCGTAATATCCACATAGTGCCAACTGTTGAAGCACGGAATTGGGCAATTTGCAAAGCTGTTCAACACGGCGAAGCCGCGCCGAAATCAACTCCACATCTTTCACATTTCGATCACAAGGCCTGCAACGAAAGAAACTCGATTAATTGCGTTTTCCCCAAAAATTCAACTGAAATTGCAGTGAAAAAGTCGTGCGTCATTGATATTCAGTTGAGTGATTGAATTATAAAATCCATATTGACCTTTGTGGCACGCAACAACCTTCAGTTAGTTAATCGGTTGGTTGGATGACTTGAAAGAGGATTCAACCGTGCACATTATTCGTATACCGATACTCTTGCCACTTTAATATCAAACGAGCCATTTTTTTATAGATACTGTAGGTTTGTAGGCATTCGCGGCGCGAAACTGGAGCGGAAAGGATGCGATGGGTAATTTTCTCTAATTAAAAGCTAGTTGGGCCCTTGGTAAAAAAGAAATAACTTGAGAAATAGCAATTTTGAATTATGGGCGTTTTTCGTAGAAAAAAAAACAGAATGGGAACACCTACATACGCCTACGAAAGTTTTAACGTCTATTTTCGGAATTTGACCAATTAATTTAAGAAAAGAAAATATTTTCTTAGTAAACAAAAAGACTTTAGACAAGTTCAATACGCCAACAAGAAAATTCCATACAGAAAAGAGGCTCAATCGATATTAAAGAGTTTACATTTTACGATATATATTAATGTTGTAATTTAAAAATTGTTGTTTTTTAATTTTTATACAAAAGATGAATTTGGAAAAAAATATAAATAATTTAAATAAAATAATTTAAACAACTTAATCAAAATCTTTTCCTGTGGTAGTGGAATACAAAATCTTTAAAACGTAAATGAAGAAATTACAGAAAATATTTTTAATAATGGCGCAAGAAATACTGAACTTTCCACAGAATAATCTCTTTACACATCATCACATATATTTTGTAGAAATTTAACAAAGATATTGGATAATATTAATAAAAAACATCAATAAAAAAATTCATGACGATAAGTGACAATAATCTGCCTAATTCCATTTTTGTGGAATTGTTGCCTTTCCATTGTTTAATAAATCAACTATAAGTTTCTTCCGCCAATTTTTAAAATTTTTCAACAAAATTAAAACGACAGTAAATACAGGGTGTTCACATAATTTTACAAAACCTGCGAATTCAATTACAAATTTTGAAAAATTAGATAATCTTCTCTAGTTTGTTCACCCTTTCAAAAATTACAACGTTTTTAGTTCGTTAGTGATTAAGATAGACAAACTAGAGTCATATTCACGCCGTCTTTTGATAGAACAAATGATAATTGTTTCTGAAAAACTGCAGTTTATGACTATTAATGAAACAGAGATTAGTTTGACAACTACTATCATGGGTTTCCAAAAATTAAATAATTCAATGTGTATTTTTTGTATCCAGTGTTTTGTGACTGTTGTATATTTGAAAGCGTACATTAGGCGCTAGCCTCGTAAAGTTGTGTGAAACACCCTGCATAAATTTTTAAATTAATAAATCTTTGTTAAAATAAAAATTGAGTAAAATGTGCCTTTACAGCAAGGTCAACTCTTCAAATTTTTACGAGAATTTTCATTTATCTATTCCTAGTCACAGCTAAGTATTATCCAATTTTTGTACAGGGTGTTTTGTTTTAGTTGTTACAAATTTAAACAGGTAATCGAATATTCAATTTTAAGACAAGCGTTTCCTATAAAAAAGTATCGAAAAATACTAGGTACATCACCTTAAAAGACATATCAGAATATTTCAGAAACCGAAACAGATAAAAGTACAAAATTTGGTACAACTAATAACCTTTATACTTTTAAACGAATTGAAAGATCAAATGTCAAAATTTTTATTCAGGGGCGTCCTAAATTGCGAGGTATAGGGTAAAAAGTACCCTAACTATTTTGGCTCTTTTGAGAGATGTTTATCGAAAAATATAATCACTTGTTTAAATTTGAAACAATAAGCTGATAATTTTCTGAAAAGAACAGATGTATATAATTATCAAAAGTGCTGCAAAGGTCGTTTAACCGTTTTCAATGAACATCTTTTCTCAAATTTCAAATTTAGAATTATTAGAAAGCAGAAACGAATTTCAAAGTTTTTTTTATTGTGATATCTAAAAACAAATGCCAAATTTTAGAGTATTTTATTTAAAAAAATGTTTTCTTTTTTGAGAGAAATATTATTTCTTGATCTTATAAAACTCTCTATAATCATATGAATAGAAATTAGCTACCAAAAACGGTGCAAAATGTTGGTTTTAAGACTTTTTTATTTATTTTTTTTATATTTACTACTCAACTGAATTACGAATTTTTTGCCAAGATTCAAAAGGAATAAATAAGAAAAATAATCAACAGCATGTTACTGTCTCTTTCTAGAATCCAGAAAATAGAAATATAGTTTTCATTATATGATAACAATACCAAAGAAATAATAATAATAACAAAGAACACATATTAATGTAGATTATCATCTTATTATTTATTTTTTAGGATACTGAATTGAAATATAGTTAGTTAAATTGTTGTTTTCATGAATTTTTGTTTAACTTGAAAGTGAATGTTGCAGTATCCTAAAAAATCTTGTACAATACACGACCAGTAGCATTTTTGTGGCTTTGCCAAACATACAGGTCTCGCCCTACGGCTCGACTTATAAAGCATTTACCAGTCTCATACCGTAAAACAAAGTATGGCATTAAATATTACTTTAGTTAGTAACCAAACCAAAATCAAATTAATTTATTCAATTTATTCAAAACCACTAATCTTTGGAATAATTCTTTTTATCGAACAATGAAAGAATCGCTTTCATCTTTAAAAGAATACGGTTTAATAGTATTAAAATAAAAATAAACTGCAAAAAAACTTCACATTTCGGTCAAAATATGCAAATACAGTCGAAAGGGTCTTCGAATCCTTTCTCTGAATTTAGTTCTGCTCGAAACAGTTGAAACGAGCAACGAGTATACAAATTAGAGCAGTCATGCTTGTAAAATTTGAGAAGTATTTACTCGTGTTTCAACAATAAAGAAATAATCAACCGCTCAGCCGTAAATTAATTCGTGTCAAGTTTACGTTGCAAATTATTTTTATAATTTATATAATAATTATGTGGATCACATTATGAAAGTTCTTTCTTTTTTCCAATACTTGACCAATCTTTAACATACAAGAGGAGTGATGCAACTGTGAAACCTACACTAGCCCCAATATGAATTATGTGAAGTGCAGATTCATAACTTTGAAATATGCTTCTTTAATTTTAAAACTTAAATTAAACGTTCTGTGGTTGCAAGTCGAGCAAGAAAGCATACAACGTGCTCTCTAATTCCATCCTAAATCATATTTTATCCCCAACTGACATTTAATTTTGTGAAAAAACAGCAGTCACTATCGCGGCAATTTTTCTACAAATATATAGACAACCAGCTTTACTACAGAAAAAAAAATCAGTTGAGACAAGATAATTATCTCATGTCAGACCCTTGTCAGAGAAAAATGTGGTGTTTTAATAGGAGTAAACAAAATTTATCTCTTCGTAATTAGCAAATCAATTAAGGCAATTTCGTTTTTGCTTCACCAGATTTTTTGCGACGCGTGTTCTCGATAATTATTCAAACGGGGACATAAAACGTAATCCACGATTGTAAAATTTAATTACTCGACTAATGCCTTACGTAAGAATTAATTATTAGAGTCTAAAATAACGATTCAATCATCAATCTCACGCAAGTAGGAGCTTTCCCAAAGGAGCGGAGGTTATTTTGCCGACTCACGACACCTAATCCTAAACATTATCACGCTACAAGAAAATTGGTTTCGACGAGATACTCTGCTTCGGTTAATCCGTATTGTACGATTTTATTTATTACGAAAATTACAAACGAGGAAACAGAAATTCTTACTCGCGCTCAAATATTTAAAACAGCAGGTAAATCGCTTCACGACTTAATCTGGACGAGGCTCTCAAAGAGGGTGGCATTTAAATAAGCCAAAACAAAGGGAAGATTATAATTTTTATGCTCCAATAAAATTATAAAATCATGGAAAGGCTTTGACCCAGATAAAATGGTGTGCAAAGAGTAAATTTTTTTAATGGGATTAATTAATGGGGTTTGATTGATTAAACATTATTTTCGTAACGTAATTTTTCAATTAAAGTCACAGCAAACAAGCAGACACACTGAATCACTGATGTCAACAAATAAAAAAAAGTCTTAATAAATTGTTCCAAATACGACTTACGATTTTATCAAATGTTTTTAATATTTGAAATGTTTTCATTTCATTAGAAAAATGATAACTATTTTAATCCCAAGAATGAACGAAGACGTTCAAGGAATTAACGATGTTTATTCCAGAGTTATACTTACAAAACTTTCCTCCCAACAGACTAAATTAACATAAAAAAATGATAAATTTGTCAAATTATCAAATTGTTAAAATATTCAGTTCATTCAATTGGAATTTTAAAAGTAAAAATCGGTATTTCAATCATTTTATTCCCGAAGGAAAACACTTTATTTACTGTTGGGAGGAAAATTTATAAATTTTTTGTACACAGTAGACAAGGTGATGGAAGCGAATACGAAATATTATTTATTTGTAATTTTTGCTTAAAATAGAGTTCTATTGGTCAATAAAATGGTTGAAGCAGTTGTAGGTATAACTTTTTAAAACGCTCCTGAAGTTCAAGTTCAGGATTGTCCAAACTTCCGGTCGAAAATTCAAATATATATTATTAATATATTATCAGTTGATAACATAAAAATAACGCTGGCGTATTTTTCACTTTCAAAAAATATGTTAATTAAAAATAAAATTTCTCAATATACCGTGTGTCCTGAAAAAACGTTTAAACATTTCGCGGTCAAATAATTTTTGTAATTTTATACCAAGAAATACTTGTTTAAAAATCAAGATTTTATATTATTTATTGGTATGTGGCTGAAATTATTATTTAATTAGTTAATTACGTTGAATTCGAAGTCAGGGATTAAAAAACTTTTTGTTTAAAAAGTGCTTTATTCTTGTTTCCAATACATAACGTAATATTCAAATGATAAAAAACAACATAGCGGTGTCCGGAAAAAAACGTTGAAGGATTTAGAAGAATAGTTACCTAGGTCCAAATTAAAAAAAAAGTTTTTATAGACCTATGTCCGGAAATGCTTCCTAAGAAAGCTAGAGCCCTCTGAAAATAGTGGACGAAAAGCCTTTTTTGTAAATTTATAAATTTTGTATTTGGAATAATTTTGAATCTGAATCTACTGGTAATATCAAAAATTGTGTACCCTAATTAAAAGGGCAGAGGCACTGAAGTCAATCTATGTATTTAAGGTGTAACATTTTGCTTAGAAAAATAAAAACGACTTTTTTCTTAACACAAGTGCAGTGAATTTTTTCATATAAAGTCGATTTATCGCTCTAGCTCCATTAGGAAGCATTTCCGGACATGAGTTCATTGAAACTTTTTTTTTTTTGACCCAGGAAACCACCCCCTACGGTTTTCCGGACACCGGTATACTTTCAATATTAGATAACAACAAACGTAATATTTTTTCGGTTAATTTAAAAAGTAAATAAAGCTTTCACAACTACATATCAGAGAGACTCGTATAAATAAAATTATAGGTATAGGTAAAAAATGTTTTAAAAAATTCTATCTAAAAAAATTTTTAAATTATGAAAGTTTAAATTTTGCACTTTGATCCTATTTATTTCTGTTGGTAAAATAATGTTTTTTGTTGTAGGCTGCTGTGTACTGAACATACAGAAATAATAAATAATAATAATAAACAATTACTGTTTGCTCGTAATGACAAGACGAAAATAAATATGTATAACTAATAGAAAAAATATTTCTTTTTTCTGACTTGTAGGTTTAGATCAAAATACGAAACACATTTTTATTAATTACCCTGCCTACAACTACATAAAACATGTACTTCTACTTATTAAATTGTGAGGCAATATTTATGAATCATGTTTACAAAAAAGATAATTTTTTGTTCTACCTGATGATAACAACACTAGAGATAAAACAATGATATTGTGTATAGTGAGGAGTGTTTCACTCGTGCAAAAATGGACAGTCTCATAAGTAACGAAATTGATAATTTCAGCATATTTGAAGTAGCCAAAAAAGAATGTTACACATTACTCGACATGATCTTAGACCATTTACCAATTTACGACTTCCACATCGACTCTCAGGACGAAAATGGTAACACCTTACTCCACATAATTTGTGCCAAAGGTAAACAAAGATTTTTGTCTTAAATAAGATTTATTAATTTTGTGACAGGTGAGCAAACCATAGCTCAACGACTGATAAATCTAGGTTGTAACGTGAACATCTCGAACAATATTTGCGAAACTCCTTTATACATAGCGTGCTCTAAAGGCAATTTATCTCTCGCTAAACTCCTAGTCAAGAATAACGCCGACTTGGATATCACCGACACAAACTCGCGCTCTTTGCTGCACTTAACCGTCGAAAAAAACAATCTTGAATTGTGCAAATTTCTCATCGATTCCGGAGTGAACTTAAATCCTCAAGACTCCTCCGGAGCGACTCCTCTCCACTACGCCGTCGATCTGAACTTTCCAAAAATAATTTCTCTCCTCGTACACAAAGGCGCCGATGTGAATCGTCAAGATTTGGATGGTTACACGCCTCTACACATCGCGTCGAAAACAAACGCCCAAATTGTGAGATTCCTGCTGCGAAATAAAGCTGCCACAAACATAAAAACCTTCAACGGCGATTTACCCCTGCATCTTGCTGCGTCATCTGGCAATCAGGCGGCTGTAACAGTTTTGCTAAATGACGAATTCAGACCTAATTGTTTGAATAATGACAATTACAGCCCGGCCCAATTGGCCGAAATGAATGGCCACGAAAAGGTAGCACACTTATTGAAGCCTCCAAATGTGAGCAAGGCACGAAGGAAAAGTCGAATTATCGCGTTGTAGAAACGTAATTATACGTTTTAATCAAATTTGGTGAAGTTTGTGTTCACACAAAGACGCTACTAATTAAAAATTAAGATTTCAGCCTGTCTTGTAAATAATTATTGTAAGTCTTTAATTAAATTCACAATGAGAATAAAATGTGGGTTATACAACCAGTTATACGTTGAATACGTTGTTTTATAATCAGGCAATTATTACAGACTACGAGCTTTATGTTACAACTTTCGCTACTGGCAATAGAAGCAAATATTGATCTACCTAGCCCTTATATGTGTCAGCTGTAAACACTTAAAATTGACAAAGAAAAATCAAATTCCAGCTGGTGTTCGGGCAGGGAGACATTTTTATCTATTCAATATTAAAAAATTGAACAACGAATGCAATCAGTTAAGTGAAAATGCATTTAGTAATCAGTTATCGCATTTTCCAGCCTTCGAAACAATCATATTTAAAACCTGCGTGACGGTATTCACTAAGTTAATGCCCTGTGACAGTTTTTCATTTCAAAGTAGATTTTTTGTGTTTTTTTAATCGAAAGTTTGATGTGCTCTTTTATTACTCATTGATTATTTAGGCAAAAACATTATAAACAAGTTATTTTACAAAATGCGCCCAGATGTTTCAATATTTCTTATACAGGTTGCAATAAAAAATTTTAGAAAACACCTAGGTATAAATACTTGAAACACCACAGTTTTGCATAGGTTTGGCTAGTCCTGGTTCTGTTCTTGTGTCGCGACCATGCTAACACAGCTTTGAAATGTACAAAAAAGCCATTTTTAAAAGGGGGTATTCAAAAATTTTCCGTGGATTTTATTTTAATTCCGGATAAAGTATATTGAAAACGGTTTATGTTTTATACTATATTTACCAGCGATTTTCTCAATAATCATTTATCGCACAAATTAAAAGTACTTTCGAACGGTTTAAAATTCAACCAAATGCACTCGTGGGGGTTCAAAAGGATTAGAGAAGTACAAAAACATTGTAAAAGACTCAGAAATGTGTATAAAATATTGTAGGGTCGAGTAGTTTATAGTGCAAAATGTCGAATGCTGATAATCTACCTTGTACCTCTCCAGAAAATGCTGAAAAAGCGAAAGAGACAAGAAAGAGATAACAGTGGTAAATGTCAAAATAAGTGTCAAGTGAAAACGCCTAGGCGTGAAAACAGTGTTTTACTCCATGTCTGATAAGTCAAACTTTTACTTGTGTCATTTAGTAATAAAAGTGGTCACTTTTGTGACGTTTGCGGATAAAATAAGTTTAAATAAATCTGAGACATGTTCAAAATTTTTCCTCGTTTTTTTTTGTTAATTTCGACTAAAGTTTATTGAAAACGGTTTATATTTTGTACTATACCTATGTAAAATGTTCCGTGGAGTCAATTGGTGCCGAGAAAACTACAAAATTCTTCATGGTTTAGAAATTATTCTCGAATTAATATTTTTACTATTTTTGTCTTTACCAGCGATTTTCTCAATAACTTCAATGATCTTTTTTATGAGATAGGAAATTAAAAATGCTTCCAAACGGTAGGTACTAAACTTAATGGGCTGTCGCTAATAATTCCAAAGTTATTGGCAATACATTATCGCTCCGGTACCTAAAATTGTCCAAAATTGTGTCAAATCTAAAAAAGTAAAACTTTAAAATTCAACCAAATACACTTCCCAGGGGTCCAAGAGACTTAGAAAAGTACAAAAACGTTGTAAAAGACTCAGAAATGTGTATAAAATGTTATATGATAAGTTAAAAAAAAATTGTTGAGTTTTATTAATATGAAAAGTAAAAGTAGAAAATTTTCCGATTGTGCTTCGTTACAGAAGTCACTAATAAAAAACTAAAATTTAACATCTAAACTTTTAGGGTCAGTTTATTAAACTATAATTCGTTGTTAAAAGTTAATACACACGATTAACCCGTGAATCTGAGCATCTAGTTGAAGCTCCCTATAAGAAATCTTTCCAATTTTTTCATATTTTATTCAAACAGAAAAAAAACAACTCACTAACAACTCATTAAACAGAAATAGTATATATCATTTTATTACTTTTTCTGATTTGTGATACCAAAATGTCACTTTTTTTCTAATCTACAATACAAAATTTCTTTTAATTTAATTTCTACGATATAAATTTAGAATTTTCTATCAGTTTGCTCCACTACTAATTAAACTTATTATCTCTTGTAAGATTTATATCGAAACGATATCAGTTTTCTTTTGTGTAATTTTTTCCAACGCTACACAAGCTAAAATCTTCGTTTTGTGTCACTCGTGAAAATTTAATTAGTCCCATTTGCGTGTGAAACTTTTCTCTCGCCCCCAAAAGTATGTATTATCATTACCACTGTTTTCCCAAGTCCCGTAAAAGCCCTACAAGCTAGTGCTATAAAAGACAAATATTGATTTTCGCGTCAGAATATGCATGAATAAGTATACACAAACGTAATTTCATACCTGTTTGAAATATGCATCAGTCACGCATACTTGAACGCATTATTAATAATCAATTTGGTGAGCGTTTGTTTGAGGGTAACTAGAGGTTTTAATTCGCGAGAGAAAAAACAATGAGGAATAATTACGAAGGTTGCGTTTCAGTTTTCACTGGCACTTGGATTTTTAATTTCAGTTGAAGAGTATTATTACATTTTTAGATAATTGGAAAGTTCAAGAGCTTCAATTGTGCCGCTTGCAGACTCAATTTAAATAAAAATGGGCAGAAAAAAATCGTTTCTTACATCGAAATTATCAAAAACATAATTAAACTTATTAATTATGGTTGCTCCTAATTTTCATTGTAGCTACGGCCGATTAAATTAACGAGTTTTGTTAATTAGGACAAAGGAAAATCTAATAACAGTGGTCCCTAAATCTGACTCTGGTTCCTGATGTGTAACAAAAGTTTGACATAACGACAAGTTGGCACGAAATTTGCTCATTACTATAGGTTTAAATTGCAAGTTAATTATTACAAATCAAGAAATACATAATTATCTCATTTTGTTAAAAAATTAAAAACCAATTTAAACAAAATCATAATAACATGAACAACATTATTACATTAATTTTAATAGAGAATTGCCATTTTATTAATAATAAAAAATATGAGTCTGCACTACAACAATAATTATTAAAACATATCTCTCATTACTAATTTAATAGCTTATTATTTCGCACACGAATTATTATTTCCTTGTTAATTAAAATTTGGTTTTGGTAATAAAAATTTAATATTAGTAATCTAGCCATATTTCTGTCACTAGTGCAATAAAACAAAATTTATAACCGCCCTATTGAAATAATCCAAAGATACATTAATATCCAAGAGGTATTAAAACGTAATTAAATGGCTCTATTTTCCACTAAAATCGAAAATAATTGGCTTATTTACTTACTCCTGCCCGACATAAATGTTTATCCAAGTAAAAATAAATGTTTATAACTGTGTCAGCTTGTGGTAAAATGCAATAAATCTTCGTTTCATTCAAGAATCGATCAATTACCAAATGGAATTCGTGTAAACTGATAAATTCCTTAAGAAATTAAAAGACCATTTCAGTAAACACTCTGTAATTAAAACATCGTCTCGAACACTTAATAAACCAATTAATTCGAATTTGAAGAAACCTCCGTCGTCTGCCAAGACAAGAATTATCATGCCTCTCTTCTAAAACCTCTCAATTCGCACCTACACGCTCGAAAGCATAAAGTTATTTCTTAACGACATTTAAGCTCCCTTGTGAGATGATTTAGGGCCGAAATATTTTCTTTCGCTTACGTTCACCCTCCTCAAATTGAGTTAACTTATAATATCGAAGTTTTATAAGACCAATCAAGGTTCTAATTATTCTGGTAAAGAGCCACTGGCTTAAGATAAGGCTAGAGTTTGATTTATTTTAAAAAATTGACAATAATGTAATCAGCGTCATTTTAATTAGTTTATTAAACTGAAATTGATGCTTCAGATCGCTGGATGGAGATAACAAGTTTGTATTAAATTACAGAAAGTTTTCAATTTATCGAGATCTTTGCTAATTTGTGTAACAATAGAAACGTGATCTAAGTACAATTGAATACGAGTAGGAGATATTCAGGTTTCGTAGAGCAATACAGCTATCAATTTTGTGCTCATGTACTCTTTTTTTAACAATATTTGCATTTTTTTCGAATGCCCATCATTAAATTTTCAAACTTAGTCAAAAGTTCATTTATTGTTTTTACTTTTCTTTTCTATATTCTTTAATGTTTATTTATCTATATTTTTAAATTTCTAAATTTCTTTCTAACGTGCGCCTTTTTAAAATTTGCATTTTTAAAACTTATAAATGACTGTTACATGTATTTTATACCTGGACATTAATTATGAAATAACTTTTTTTTTGGTAAATACTCATTTTGCATGATTTATCAAGTCGAAAAAAGCACTATTGCAGATTAAAATTCGTCGAAAAATTAGTCATTTCCTGATTTTTGCTTTTAATTTTTCCATTTTGCGATCGAAATTTCAGCTGCTGCAAAATTGCCCCAGATTTCAGTCGCCTGAAAGCATATTAAACGATGCCCATCCGTCTTAAAGCATGCGGAACAAAAATTCAAATCTTATCTTTCCATTTCACGAGCTTCAGTTTCAAGTGACATTTGGTATAATTTCGTCCCGAGTCGCTTACACTTCAGGTGCCTTAAAGTCAGATCGCTATTTCCAGACCACTTAGAGAAGTTTGAGAGGTTGACTGTGTCCATCGATCGATAACATCACCCCCGGAGAAACGGGTAGAAATATCACCATTTCCTCTTCAATCTGTCATCGCATATTATTAAACATCTTTTATGACGCGTCCAATACCAATCTCGTTTCAATTATACACACTTGGAGGGTTACTTTTAAAAACGGGAATGTGCAAACAAATGCGAGAGAATTTTAATTCCTTTAAAGTCGGGATTAAATCTGATTTCACCCTTGCGTATACTCGGAATAAAATAAGCGACAAGCACGTATTTAATACGAGTTTTTCAACTGGCTTAAAAGTTTTTTAAATATAGATCGAGTTTAATATGGCGGGCAGGTGCTTCTGACAGTGCTTCATAATGTAGAAGATCATATTTTACCGTGATTTAATACCACAGTCTAGGAACT